GATAGTGAGTGCCCGAGTGTGTGAGTGAGCGATAGTGAGTGCCCGAGTGTGTGAGTGAGCGATAGTGAGTGTACGAGTGTGTATAAGGGTGTAAGAGTGTGAGAGTGTGTGCAGTGGCGGGGGTGGCGGAGAGGTGGGTTGTGGCCTGTGACGTGCCTGCTGCAGGCCCGGTGTATCAGGTCTTTAGCCCTTAGCGCCTCTTCCCCTCTGCAGAAGCAGCGTGCGTGAGCTGAGCAGGCCTGCCGAGGCCCCCGAACCCCGCCCTGCAGCGCAGACGCTGTGTGGCGAGGAGGATGCTGGCTGGGTTGAAAATGCATGGCCCACTTTCTCATCAATATTCCCAAGGCCAGCCTCCTCCAGGAGCAGCGTACCGCGAGCAGCAGGCTTCCTGGCGCCAAAACAGGCAGAGGACACCTGCGGCTGTGCCCCTCCCCTTTCGGTGTCGCAACTGAGGAAGGAAATCAGACATGCGACAGGAGCCGCACCCAGGAACAAGAGGGAATTGCTGCCAGCCTCCCTGCAGGCTTCTGTGAAGCAACATGTCTGTCTGTCCACCTGAGTGCCTGTCTGTCCGTCTGTGTGAATGTCTGTCCACCTAGAAACAAACTAACAAACAAAGACTCAGGCTCGCAGGCGTGACGCTGTCTTCCCCTTTGAGATCAGCCAGGTTTCCTGACGAGACCGGCTCACTGTGCCAACAGACCTAAACACCGTTCCCCTGTTTGCGTCCGGACAGCACTGGAAGGCTGTAGTCTGGGAGGTTTCGATTGTCGGCTGGTGTCGTAAGGCATCGATTTCAATGCAGATCATCTTTTCAATGCAGATCATCAAAGATAATAGTCATAATTATTGTCATTATCACATGCATTAAGAAACTGGCTCTTAGTTTGGGTCTTACAGCACAATTTGCACTTTCTCCCCCTCTCTCCTTCGAAGAAACTAGCCTCCGTCTCGCATGGCAGCCTCTCTTCCACACAGAGAGGGAGACGGGGGACACCAGCATGCACGTGCACTCTGACCCCCCTCCTCTCCGGCTCCTGTCAGAGCAACGCAGCTCTCCCCAGGCACAGCGCCATGGAAAGGCGGCCAGGGGCTTCGCGCGGCAGAGCCATCTACTGGGCCCTTGGGGGGCACTGCAAGCTGCAGAGCTGCGCGCACCGCCGTGGAAACCGCCAGCAGCACAGACAACAGAGGCTGCAGCGGGCAAGAGAGTCTTCACTCAGCCCGCCGGCGAGTTTCAACATGTGTCCGTGTCCTCTGCTGCGTGCTCCACTTCACCAGTGGGCTGACTTTGTTAGCGCCTGTAAATCTTGGAATCCGGTCTCCTCTCCGTTTGAGACCAGGCTCTTTTTCCCCCCCGACAGAATGGACATTCCTTTGAGTCTGGGAATGTCTGTGGTTGCTTTGCTCTGGAGTGGAATGAGAGCAGCAGTGCAACCTAAAACAATGAAACTAACTCTGTGCTGTACTGCGCATTTTTTTTGCAGGGGTAGCTCCCACTCTGCCAGGGTAAAAGAGCTCAATCCGTGTGCTGGCCCGAGTGTGAGCGGGGATCCACAACCTTTATCACGGAGACCTGCTGCGTCTGCCTTGTTTTCCAGCAGAGCTCTTGAGTGATGTACTGGGACCGATTTACTCGCTGAATTAGTTCAACAGTTCAACAGTTTACTGGGTCTCCTCTACCCACTGGTGGTTTGACAGCTCAGCTGCCTGTATCTTCTACATCCATACATTTCCTAAGTGATTCTGCCGGTTCAGGGTCTCGGGGAAGCTGGAGCCTATCCCAGCGAGTGCCAGGGATAAAGGCAGGGCACACCCTGGATGGGACACCAGTTCATCTCGGGGTACAGAAACACAAAAACACACACACACACTTGCACCCCAAGGCCAATTTTCCTAGGAGCCTATTAACCCACTAGTGTGTCTTTGGACTGTGGGAGGAAACCAGAGCAAACATGGGGAGAACATGCAAACTCTGCGCAGATACCGCCCCAGGTCTGGAATCAAACCCAGGGGCCCCAGGGCAGCAAGACTTATCCACTGCGCCGCCATACTGCCCACATGTTGTATATTTCATTGAAAGTGATGAAGAAAAGCCTGCAAATCACCACCCTTTCTCTTTGCAACGATGAGGACTCTTTGCCCTCAGCAGAGTGAGCGCTATTCGAACCCGAGGCGCCGATCCAGCCCGGTCTGTAGGATCAGACCTGCCCAGAAAACAAAGCCACATGACTGCTTGAGCCACCATCATTGCCCGGCACATTGGTGGTGGAGGAGGGGAGTCCCTATTACCTGTAAAGCGCTTTGAGTGGAGAGTCCAGAAAAGCACTATATAAGTGTAAGCAATTATTATTATTATTATTATTATTATTATTATTATTATTATTATAATAAAAGAGCTGGTTCTTTAGTATCATGCAGGAGCACATTTTTGTCTTCAAACAGTCAATGCAGGAGAATTTCAACATAAGCCTGCATATGGACACACACAGACACACACACACACTTGTATTTTAGTGCAGTGAAGCTGCAGTGAGCCAGAATGACTGTGATGTACAGCACTGTGCGCCCACACTGTGGTGTGCAGAACTGGCTTGCAGAGCCCAGATCTCATCTCAGACCCGGCTCTGTGCTCAATTGATCCAGCCATAACTAGCCCGGCTCCTGAGAGACAGAGAAAGAGAGGCAGAAGGGGAGAGAGAGTGAGAGAGTGCAGCTATTCAGCTCACTCGTTATGTCCAGCGCTTATTGGAAAACAGTCTGACTGCAGCTCAGCACTGAAATTAGTTATTGATCTCTCCCTGAAGCTCTGGGACTGCAAAAAAAAAAAACTGCTGCTGGTTCTTTCTACTCTTCCATTTATTTCTCCAGCTCGCTCACCCTCATTCTTCCTTGCTTTCTTTTTCTCCCAGAGCTCTTTTTCCATCTTCACCACTCCTCCTCCTCACTCCCCCCCCCCCGAGCGTCTCTGACTCTTTTCCCTATTTTTGGTCCTCTGCTCCATCATCACCCCCCTGCCTTCGCCTCTCTCTCCTCACCTCTGCCTCTGTGCTGTCTGTCTCTGTCACCCCTCTCCCCTCCACGCGCCCATCATTCTCCTTAATTCCCTTCCCTCGTTCTCTCTCAGTAACCCCCACTTTTCTCCCTCCCTCCCCCTACTTCTCCTCCGTTCCATCTTTCTCCCAGTTTCTCTCTCTCTCTCTCTCTGCCACTCTCTCACTCTCGTCCCCCTCCATCTCTCTCTCTCTCTCTCTCTCAACGGCTGCATCAATTTTCCAGCCACCCACAAACAGCTGTTATAACTCAGAGTGCCTGTAAGGCTGGGAGGCAGGGAGATGCTGGGGGATAAATGCACCAGTAATTGGTGCTGTGAGGCAGAGAGGTGCTCCTGGCTATCACAGCCTCAGTGGGCTACACAAAAAATGCACCCAGCCCTGACCCTGATGCAGGACAGCTCTGACTGCACAGATTAGACCGACACAAGCAGGCCGAGAGACACAGGCAGACGCAGACCCAGACCGCTAGAAAAGTACAGTAGGATTTTGGATTTTTTTGAAGAGGCCGAACAGCTGCGTACAAAATAAATTATGGGGGGGGTTGGGGGGGGGGGGGGGGGGGACAGGAAGTTCCCTGTGTTACACTCGGCGGTTTAATGATTAAAGCACGATTTGAGTCCGGAGAATTGGGACAGATATGAGT